TCTGTCCTGATGCCACTGGAATGAAGCGCCAAACATTTGTCAATATTCGAAGTGCGTATTTTTGTTGACGAGTTCAATCACATGTTCAAAACTACTGAAGTTCGGATTGGATGCACCATCGAATCCGTCATATTTGGCAGACCTGAAGACTGCATCCCATAGAACCATCGCGATTGATAGGAAAATGGAAATTTTTGATCTTCCACTAACTCCCACCAAATGGATTACTTAAACAATGGAAAGGAATTCCATTCGAATAAGTCAAGTTGACATAATCCACTTCGTTTCGAGCCAGATTGATGAAGCATAATTGGTGCATCATGGCCGCGAGTTGTTGTGAGCACTTGTTGTGTTAAGGGATCAATTGAAATTGCCAATAAGCTGTAGCATGGTTATTAGGATCAGAGATACTTATTTAAGCTACCATCACTTGAAGGTCACAATTCGACTAGTGCTCATAGCCATTTTCGTCACCTTACTGGAGATTGTAAATGAGTTATCTGAGGGCTAAGATACAAGCGATTATGGAGAAGCAATGGAATTGAAGCCAGACGCCCTGTGTCTATTCCGCCAATAATGTTAGCCATCATGAAGTGAACCCTTATCCTTCATTCCATGCTTAGGACCACCATGCTTGGGTGTTAAGTGTATGTACATCGTAATCGGTCACTTTTTTTCAAGTTGCACAACCAATGCATGAAACCTCTTCCTTACATGGGCCAAATTGTCAAGACTTACTCAACCTACCAAATGATCTCTACCACTTTTAAGTAGTCAGAATTCGGACATATGAAAGACGTCATGTTCAAAACATATATTTTGCAACAATAAAGCGCCAAACACAAAACTCCATGTAGTGTCATTGACACAATGCCAACTATCTTTGCTGCGGGTCATTCTACAACAATACTGAGCCCAGTTCCTGTTGCATGAGAAGACTAGAATGAGTAACTACGAAGAGTCGCTTGGTGCAGCCGACATTTGGGCTGCATGTGTGCCAGTTCGAAGAAAGCGACTCTCAGAATTGTGTGAAATACCTGGTCACAGAAAACTGAGAACCAAAATCCAGATGCCTCATGAACTAGACAGCTGGAGGCGTTGAATGTGTTACCAACACCCACAGCTGCAGCTCTGCAATCAGAAGGACTTCAATATGAACCGGGCGCGGGCAATGTGTTTGTGTGTAGAATACGCAGATCGCACATGTATTTGACATGAAGTTAGGACATAATGGGTCTCTGAACTTTATGCTGACAATGTTAAGTGCCTCACTTTGGTGCTGTCTTTGCCTCCCAGTTCTTTGTTTTAGTTTCCATCATTATTTGCTAATGGCTGATCAACTAAGGTGAACGGTTTTGATTATGCTTACAGTCTGAAGTACTAACCTCAAAGCTCAGTCCACATGTTTTTGGAAATCACTTAAGCAAGTAATGTTTTAGGTTATTAGTTTATTTGAGCACTTCTAAGGCAACAGTCATTGCTCGTTTCCGCTGAATTACACCTATCTGCTGTCTACGTTAAGGCAACTTTTATATTGAAGCCCGTTTTGACCTCTCACGCCTTTTTAACTGCTTACCACGGCTATATTTTTTAAACTGATCGTTGTTAGCACCCAAGTCATGAACGATTCAGTCAAATATATTTAGTATGGGTAACGGAGTCCTTTTCGGCACCTTTACTCTGGTTCCGGAATGTTGTAAGCATTAGCAAACAAGACTATTTACTAATTATTTTTAAGTAGAGTTCCGTGATGAATCCTAGACTAGGGATAAACCGTGGGTTCAAGTTGTACACAGTTCCGGAAACTTGGTCTTGTAGGGCCTCCTCGGTGTACCTGAGCTAGTATTCAACCTGTAGTCCATTGTGTCAGAATCCCAATTACTCAATCTACGTCTTCGATCTGCACGACTACATCCGACGTGAGCCCCAGAAGGCCCCGCCGACCTACACGACGTGGCCTTGTTAGTGCAAACGTTTACTGTCCGTTAAATGGAGCGCGTGGATAGGGAGGGGGAACACGGTGTACATCTGTGGTCGTCTTGTTAAGTGCAGTGTCAGATGCCGAGCTACAAACTGGCAGTCAGCTGTTGGTGGTTGAAACGGTGATCGCATTTCGTGCCACAGTCGACCTTCACTAAGCCGTGTTTCTTTCACTATCTTTGAATTATAACAAAAGATTGTTGCTTCCCATTGGCTATTGATTATTGTTTGAAAAACATAACGCACTGACAAATGGTGGCCTCTCATTCGATGAAGTAACGCTCGTTAGTGCAGATCCGTTTGGCGCAAAATTCAGAATGCCTGGGCGGTATTTTGTGAATTTAGGCCCCAATTTGCATGTTTTCGTCAATTTCTTTTCATGGTTTCCAAGGGCTCCTCAGTTTTTAAGGGGTCATATATGATTTCACCAACTTTTTAAAAGCATAACTACAAGTTACTTCTTCTAAATTTGCAGTCATCAATTCATATTAGGATGCACAGATTATTTGATTGGGTCAATAAAGGCATCTATTTCAGATTATTGGAAACCTTTGAGGTGATGCTCCATTCTTGTTACCATTCGTAAAAGTGCAGCTACGCCCCCCAATTTAACCTCAACCATCGTTCTTCTTTATTCCATTATTTTTATCAATTCGGTTTCGATCCACGCTGAATACATGTGCACCGGAACGACAATGTCCTGTTTGACGTGGATCCCGTTTTGACTATGTTGTTGTCTTCTTCGGACATCCGTCGAGACACAGGCAAAGGCTCCGTTACGATACTCACGCCTTCCCACTCAAGTGCCTCAGCTCCTCGCGATAAGTAGACGCGATGTCAAGTCGTAGTTTCCATGATTTTGTGCCCAGCGGTTAAAACTCGGAAGTGCCTATGTACGTGTCGTCTGTCGAGGGCTAAAAAAATGTAAGGATCTCCTTCGTGTTGTCCAGCGATTGTCCGCCCTGTCGAGGCGGCAATTTAAATTCAACCAAGCGAAAACAGCTGTCGACGTCTGTTTTCACACCAGCCCCACACTTTCAGTATTTACTATTCATAAACTGCTCCTTTCACCTAATGGCTGAAATGTTGTGCTGTACCTGCGGTGTCAGATGCAGCTTTGGTAAGTGCTGGTGTATGAGGGGAGTGGCATTTATTGCCGGAGTTTCTGTTATCGCGAGGTCGGTCATGTGCGTGCTTTCTTCGGATGTTCACATTGCCTGGCCAGCTCCCAATATGGTTTTTGATTTTTTTGACACTGATCCTTTGCCCTGTTTTGTAGCTGAGGGTTTTCAGTTTGCTGATGAAGCCATGTTTCTCGCCCTTGTTGACAGGTGATTGCCTTCTCTTTCACCGCACTGATGCTGATAGGCTCCGTTTAATTGATGAAGCATTTGGTCGACCATTAGATGCCCGTTTGCTTGGACGCACGTGCTTTCCTTTCATTTCGTGGCCTCCAACTCCGCAAACATCTGACCCACCCACACCAAAGAAAGCGCAAAGCTTTCAAAGATGAATGGATCTACAGCCCCTAGAACTTCTCAGCTCCAATATATCTCCAAAGTACGACTTATTTCGGCAGAATCACTGAGAGATGGGACTGAAGCAGAACTGTGTGCAATCATCACCGCGGTTTTGGGACAAGTGTAATGAACACAGTCACGTTCCTGGCTGGTTGATTGTGAACGTGGCTAAATCAGGTAGAGCCTGAATGTGTTGTCAGAGAAACGGGAAGAGTCAGGCACCAGGTGACGACGTCCGACGACTTGAGGGCACTTGGGGTCAATTTTTGCAGATCAACTTAAAGTAAATAGCTAGTGATCAGCAAAACTTAAGTAGTTTGAAAGAAGCCTACAGCCTGTCAGATTAAACAGGAACCAAGTTCAGAGAAATCAAAAATTCTTTCTGAAACCAAGCAGACTGCTAAGCCTAGATAAGGGGCTTAATTTCAAAGGGTTTTTACAGAAGGTGACGTGAGGTATGAAATTTAGAGTAAAAGTAGCGCAGATTTCAAACTAATCTACCCCCTTCATTTAGAAAGTCTATACAATATATCTACACTTTATCCGGCCTTCAGATGTGCACCTTCTCGTTACAACTGGCTTCTCGTGTTTGGTTACGTTTTAAGACTCATCTTTCGTCAATACATTCCTTACTTTCAGTGTAAGGAGGCCACCTAAGGCAACCTTTGGTCGTCTTTTCACTAAAAAGTCTAATGCAGAGAATAATTTTTCTCGACAGTACATCTTCGCCGTCACTTCAAAAATCACAATTTCACTCTCAGTAGCAAGTAAATCCGAATGTTCTGCGGAGTAGGGGTCAAATTTGGCCAAACTCAAGAGGGACAGCCTTCTGTCACACCAATTCTTTTGATCAGTTAACCATTGAAAGTTTGTGTGCCGCCAACTTTTTTGGAAAGAATTGACTTAGAAGAGACTACACAAATTTTATTAATAAATTTAAGACAGCCAGCAATTCCAGTTGTAATCAGGTGTAATGCGCCCTCTTCTTATTGGTATAGTGCCTCCCCTAAAAGGAGCCTCATCTCCCCAAAAGCATCTGAGGTGGCGGTCTTACTTTGACAACCTGACAACCACTTTTTGGTACTATGTTAGGAGATGATAGTGCTCCGTCTAAGGGTTTGCGCAACGACCCTACTTTTTAATCATACTCTGTAGAAACGGGTGTGCTTCCAGGTGCCCCATCGTAACTGCGCTGACCGCAAAAACGAGTATGGAATCCATTTAGCTGACATCTGTGGGGGTTTTGACGGGCTTCTCCCCCACTGTGCTACTGAAGTTGCTCCGTGTGCACTTCTGTGAACACGCTTCGGGGCAAAGCATCAGTGCAGTGCCTTTTGACCAATTGATCGATTGCGCGCGCACATGCACACCTCCCCTTGTCCAATTAGAAAAGAGTTGTGCGCAGGCGCGAGATTGGACAGCGAAAGCGGGAGGACGATATTCAGGGCGTTCTTGTTGTGTTTATTCATAGCAACATAGGTAAAGCAGAATCTGTTATTCATGAAATTTGAGGACGAAAGAGAACTAGAGGGTGACGAGAATGCATTCAAGGACAACATTATTGACCCACCATTCCGGACACGATCGGAAAAACACCACGATAACAGCCATGATGGACGGGCACCGACAATGACTATCGAGGTCGTCAGGATTGGCAGACCCCTGAAAGTGAGTTTCAACGCGTGCCACTTTTGAAATAGCGCGTTAGTTTTATAAATAATGAGAATGTTAACTCAGTTCACCAATAAGTTTTTTTATTCCATACTTTGCCATTCGCAATTCACTGGTTTAATTTACATGTTCTAAATTTTCTAATGTCGCCGTAAATCACGTGCAATGCGCACATTAAAGGGTCATAAGATGAAAAGCGTCTAAATGCTTCCTAAATGCCAAACGAAAGCTACCCTCATTTAACACTTGCTTTTATTGGTTAATACCCATTCAAACCTTTTCTATCTCTAAATACAAAGCTTCAAATAAATCTGAATTTGAGGCAAAAAGCTTTAAGAGAATGAATTTTTGTCAGGTGTGTTGCCAGCAGACGAAGCTCCGCAATCAAAGCATTAAAGATCACTAAGCATCCCTTGGGTAATGAACATTTATAATTTGCTATGAATAGAATATATCGTCGGGAGGCCCCAGTTAAAACTGTTGAACAGTAAATAATGTGTCAAAAAGAGCAGAACTTTTAAAAGCATTTCGTTTATCTTGTGTTTTGGACGCACTGTGGCGGCGAGTGCCGCAGCATTTAGGCACCATCTGCCGCTTGACGCAAATTGAGTTGGCCGAGATTCCCATGTCGTGGTAAATCTTTTGGCGTATTTTTGCACTTGTATAACTTTAAACCACATGGCTACGCTTGACCAATTTTATGGTCCAATCTGCAACTTGCAGCTGCGAGAGTGCAGATGGGGAAATTGACGACCCCGAGAAAAGCCCCAGCAGCCCGTCATTCCCAGCAATCTGTTTCGACATCGTAATTAACGTAGCCATAGATACCCTGGTTAGCGTCGCTTCACGCCAGCTGTCGTCGTGGGTCCCTCAGCGGCCTTTTGCCTCCTTCACTAAATGTGACTCACTAACTCTGTGCTGTAGGTGATGCATCAAAGGTATCCAAGGTACACCCAACGCTTCTTGTGTGTTGGTTGTTTTGCAAATGTGCATCCTTCTTAGAAAGTACAGCGCTTTCAACCTCTTTGGCGCCACTAAGCCCTCATGCAATTTGTGCACTTGTAGATATTCCCCAGCGAAAGTAACCCTTCTGGTGGTGGTCACGTGGTCAAAAGTATCAGGTTAGGTTACTGTAGAATTATACTACAACTAAAACCGGTTTTTTGAGTGACGACCGGCTTCCTATAGATAAGGGGAGTTGTCCCCTTGTTATCCCTTGTTCTGTTTTCTGTGGATTCTAGTTTCCTCCTGATTCGCAGCATTAGTGACAACTGGATTAAGATTTTGACAAGGGCTCAAAGTAACTTATGTGAACTTTGGACAAAGCTGAACGGAAGATGCTGAATAGTCCAAATGTCCAATTTCTTTACAAACGAATGCTAAAGTAGCCATCAGGTAGTCAGTGCTGTGCTGGGAGATGAACTAGATCGAATTAGGACCTGATTCTAAGGGGAAAGGCTCACGCTAAGTTAAAACACGCTCTTGTGACCAGTAGTTTTCAGATGTGTATACATAACTTGATAAAAATCTAATGTATCATTAGATAAAGACGATTCTGATTAGCCTGGCAGTTAACTTTCAAGGATTGACTAAATTTAATTTCCAGAAATCAAGGTATGGCTATCCGTGGTAAAAAAGGACCTTCAAAGTCGCAATACTAATTCAAGTCCAAAATGCAGGTGACGTCGTGTGTACACAGTGCATGGTTAAGTTCGGCTTATGCATCTTGATTGATTTGGAAGATCATTATCCCGAAGTACGCGACGTGGCAGGTCACTCCCTGCTTGGAAAACGGATGTTAGAATTTTGACTTGGCCTGCGCTGTTGTGGCTGCTATTGCAAGACCTATAAACCGTTGGCGCGCCACACGTTGCAACCATTTAGGCCATTAAACAGCTACTTTAATGCTCATACCTATTCATTTGCATCTTTGAATGTTATTTACCGAAGTAGCCTTTTGGTTATGGTTTGCTCCTGAAGCCCATTGAAACGGGATAGACTTTCCCAATCACACACTGCGCTCAACTGTTGAATCTGCACCAGGTTTAACATGGTTGAAAACGGGATGTAGACCATTTCAGAGGAAATGTACCAGAAAACACCTTTCAAACCACAGGTCCCACCTACTCTGGTTGAAAGTAGTTGCACACTCGACCTAGAACTCGAAGCCACTAGTCTTCGCAGGTGAGAAAAGCTCTCTGTCGCCGGACGCAAATACACCGTTGGGCTTTATTTTGCAATTATTAAAAAGGGTTACTTTTCGATAGCATACAACTGCCTGAAAATCTTTCAGGTACTTTCCCTGCTGCTGGGAATTTTGGCTCTAGCTCTCCTAATCGTCACGACCTGCACTTCTAGCTGGATGAAAGCGGGTCAGGTTCGGATGGGCGTCATTCATGAGTGTGTCCCACTGGAAAACGGTGAATTCACTTGCTCCCAGACTTCTTGCTTCACGCGTAAGTTCAACTTTTGTACCTGAGACCTTTTGCATGCCGAAATGCACAACATTTTTCTTTAGATGGATACCGTAACGCCGATACTACTGAAAACATTCATTTCAATTAATGCCCACATGCGTATCCAAACTGAGTTTTCGCTCATTCATTACTTGGAGTGGGTGATTTTTTTAATTTCTCACTATTAAATTGTAACCATGTTTACTAAGCCCGGGGTGCTTGGCCCTCCCCGTGGCTCATGTTTATCAAATGTCGTTTTTTCCTAAAATAAACTGAAGGAAGGTGGGACTGCGAAAACACCATCACTTTGTCCCAGCCTTCCTGTTGAATCGATAGATCCGTGACGTTTTGAAATGCTTTGATGAAGCTTGTGAATGATAGGCAGAGACCGCTTCACTATGGATTAATTAAGCGACACATGTCTGGATTTAAATGCGCTGGGTTGAATTACCTCTGGAACACATGTATACAAGAGATTTAGGCAGTCTTGGGATGGTAAATCATTGGGATTTTCGGTATGTAGAATCTCATATTATCAATTCCAAGGAGATAGGATGATGAATGGCATAGGGAGTTCGCACACCACTGTAGAATGTTCTACTTAGTACATGCAATCTCAAGCATCCATGGTCGAAAGACCGGCCGCTGGTCACGGATCCTAAAAGCCTCTTCTTGCAGTCATTTTGTTGGGTACTTCTCAATCACGCAATCAGAGGCTAGTCACCTGCTTGGTGATTGCGTGACACGATGGAGAACTTGAGAAATGCCACAAGCCGTAACCCCAGTAGGTGGTGAAAAACTTCAAGATCGTTTCAAGGTCAAGCAGACTGACTAAAGCGCATATTCCCCTCTACGTCAGCTTCTCGGTCATCCTTTGGGCACAACTACATGTGTCAGACTTCGTCAATTTCAAGGAACCGAAATCTCGCCCTTGCAATTTTCTCAGTGATAAATGAAATACAAGACAAAAAGCTAATTTAACCAAACTAATAGTGTAATTTCAGTAGTACATTGGTAAGCTTCTTTTTAATGTTATCTGTTAATAATCAGGAATTCTTGGACCTGCCAGGCGTCCAATTCAAATCAGTCCGGACAGAAGTTTGCAAACACTGAGCAAAATTAGATTTTCCTCTCTCAAAAGGAATAAATAAGACGTATTTCATTCGCAAGTATGGTTTACCATAATTTTGAAAATCTCACCTGTCCAGTAATGAGATCACTTCTGTCCCATTCCTTTTTAATAGTTCCATTCTTCATTTCAATGATCCTGGCTCTAACTGGCCTGGGATTTCTGTTTGTGGGCGTGCTACTTTTCATCGCAGCCATGTTAACCTACGCACTGACCACTAAGATGTGCCTCTACAACGCGACGCTCGGTGCGTTTATAATCTCAGCTATTACCTACACCGCCTGTCTCGTGCTTCATCCAGTCTTCTTCCTCATCCAATTCTCTGATGAACAGGTAAGCTGGTTGAATTTTGTCAATAATCAGGAAGCGGTGCCTTTCACCGTCTCCTCTTTTTCAAGCTTTGAGGACATTCAGTTGTAGCGACATTCTGCCTCGAAAACTCCCATTTAGATTTTTATACCTTCACCTCAAAGCCACTTTTCTTAGCCGTTTGAAATTCATTACCGGTCATTACGCCTGGACTTCGGTGAAAGCGACTAGCCACATCGAGCTCATGCAATGGCTGTTCACTTTTTTCAATCCAAGTGTTTGTTGTTTAGAGTTTCTTTTTCTACGCCTCACCAGTCCACACATTACTGCTTATTTGCTTGATTTTAGTCGTCGATCTATACACCAGTTTAGGTTTGTACAAGTGATGTACAATTGGTCTGTTCGGTAGTAAATTGCTACCCTTGAAACCACCTGTACCCTCTTTGGTCTTGACTTAGAACTGTACAGTTAGATGGCTAGAATGAAGTGCAAAACTATAATTGGTGACGTTTTTCGAAGCTAATTACGTCTGCCAATCCCGATCTCGACAATCCGGTGCTGTCCAGACGGCAAAGCTGATTGTGCTGGTGTCAGTTCATTTATGGCAATAGTGAGCGGTGCTGCAGATGTCCATTTCCAGGCATATAAACAGGCAAGCTAACATACCTCTGAGAATGCCGTAGCCGATCCAGGCATAAAAAATAGGTGCCTCTTGTAATTTTTCTATTTGACATTTGTGCCAAGGTTAACATTGTATCCCCAGGATCTAAAAAACGCTATTTTAGAGTTATGCGTTAACAACTTGGAAAGTCAGCAGATGCTCTACCCAGACGTTTAACTACAAATTACTCTGTTTGAACTTGGGTCTCAGGTTACAGCTGATTTTAGCGATCCGATTTCAGCGCGAATGTCCTTTTACTCTTTGGTCTATTATTTGACAATATTCTGTCGATTCCCCCGGTGCGGCTATAGGAAACACACCAGGGCTAACAATCTGCGTTGACACGGTCCGTCCGAAGAAAGAGAAGGTGTATAGATGGCGCGTAGCTCAACCTGTTTATTGATGCAGTAGTGGTGTGTATTTGTGTGTGTGCATACAAGGTAAAAAGTCAGTTTATGTAGGACCGGCTAAACATCGATCCCTGAACGTTGCCGTTACGTGAAGGGCATTCGCGTAAATCATTTGAATCATTTCTCCTCACGATTGCTGTGTTCGCTTGCTGCTCGCCACAGTTCTAGTCGAAGTCAAACACCAATGCGTCTCTGTCTGTCCGAGGCGCTTCTGTTTTAATCGCTTTAATCTACCATTGGCAGTGTTACCGGGAGTCATTAAGACAGACCAAACTTTCAGCGAACTAGCCCATAAAATTCTACAAGTCAGGCACCTGATAAACTGCAGACTTAACGTAACCAAGTTACAACTGGGAATTTCAATTTGCAAATTATATTAAGCGTAAAAGTGTGGAGACGAGTTTTTCAACAACGGAGCAGTATTTATGGTTTGATTTTATCAAATATGACACCTCTTTATGGCAGCAGAGTTGCTAAAAGTGTTTCAGTTGACTAAAATGTGTTTTTTGAGGAAAAATAAAGCATTGTAATGTACTAGTCTCGACAAAAGGACTGGCATTTATGGTCCTTGTGTAATTTGTGGTTCTGTGTAACTGTTTAGCAAGTGTTAAAGCAAAGTCTCATTTTAGATTACATCAACTAGATTTTTTAAAGTGACGTTTGGCAGGTCTCCTCAGGCTTGTGGTCATAGCAGCGTGGTTGATTTTAAATAAGGGAAGGTCAGTTTATTTTGATTAATCTAATTCTTTTGGATGCCCACATTTGGAGGTCGGAACTATTAGTAGGCAGCACAAAATGTGAATATTACCCAAGGGTCTTCCGTGAGTTTTAACTTTAAAGAAGAGCACCTTCTGAACCATGTGATGCAGTTAGTTCAGTGGGAAGATATCTCTGGGTGTTTATAAGATAGATATAAGTCAATGGCGTACTGATATGCAAAACTGGGAAAATTATAGACCTGAGTTGATAGCGCTTAAGACTTTCCAAAAAGATCATTTTTGTACGAGAATACACATTGGTGTCGGTACGATTTTGTGATATTTGCGGCCACTTAGTTGAGTTAGGAAGCACGACTCTTCGATGCAGCACAAACAAACGCGAAGACTTTCTGCGACGTAGTTTTTTAGTTACGATTTTTGGTCAACGTAAGTGCACAGAAGCGGTGAAACCGCGCTGCCAAATAGAGGAACATCTGTTGTTCCTGAGAAAAATGAAAGACCACCAACTGTGAATTTGATCAAACCCAGCAGCAGATTTTCGAATAAGTTATTTTGCAAACATTAAAAGCCCTTTGAATACTCCTTTCTAATCCTAACATCTTTGTTCGAGTACTCGTAAACCGTCCAATCTACACTTTCTTTGGCATTCACGTGTACTTTAATCAATTGTACCTAAATATTTTTGGTGTTGCTGTGACATTATTCAAAGTGTTGCCCTGGTGATAAAATTATTCCACCAGTTCATGCTCACCTTCAGGTTTTTATGAACATCGAAAAATAGCTAGGGTGTAGCAATTGTAACACACATAAGCAAAACACCTTTTTCTATGTCCACTCCTGAACCGTTATCCCTTTGGGCGAATCCAGCGTGTATAATTAAATAAATGACCACCATGAATACTTAACAGTATAACAGGGATAAAACGCTCCATCTCCTAGTGTATTTACAGCTGTGAGCCAAGGGCAACCTTTAAATAGCAAGTGGTTATCAGAATGTCAGTTCCTCTGTAATTTTCGGACGTGCCTATTTATAACACCGTTTTATCTGAGGCGAGTCTAGCAAACCGGGTGCCACGTTTTATAGCAAAATATGGTTTGTGCAATATTCTTATGATAAAAAACATCATATAAACATCATAATTCCTTACTGCGCTTTGAAAAGATGTCTGCCTTTACCAGCAACCAAAACACACGCCCAAAGAAAAACCAGCATATTGGCACAAGTCCCGACCTCTTTGATGCAAAAACGGAGACATAGCCTTGTAGAGAAAACTGGATGCTGATTAGCACGCCTAAATGAGGAATTATGTGCAGATTTTTCAGCTTTGTGAAAGGAATGTTTCCTAGAAAACCAATTTCTTCAGCACTTATTTTTCTAGGATCGTGTATTAAATAATTAATACTTTGGATTTTGTTCATGATAATAATAACTTCTTTACTCATAGTAAACAGGGTCTACAGCCGACTTGATCTAATTCACCTCAGATTTGATATGATGATCTTTGGACCAACTTCTGCCTTAGTAGTTGCTGATGTTGTTCAGAAAAGAACTACAAGACTGTGGACAAATTCTATACTGAAATTCCTGTCGTGTATAAGTGTGAACTTACATATGGACAGTTTTTTGGCGAGAAAGGTTTTTCCTGATGCGTCTTTTTATCGCCTAACTTGTAAGCAGCTAAAGTTTCTACTCTCGAACATCCTGTAGAACACATGTTTATTTGATCTCAAAACTGATTTGCCTAAGTGCGATTATACACTAATTAGCCAGAATAAGTTAAATCAAGTTCTAATATGTAGCCTAAAGATTCAGCCACAGTGGGTTGGGAATCGGTCATACCATCCGAAAACACGAGCCTAAAAATACCATTTAAATGTGTTAAATGCCAGAGAACATAACATTTTTAACTCACAGAACAGGCTGATCTTATGCTAACATGTAACACACGCCAAAATACAGAGGTGTATTTTTAATACATTAACATCATAAAATGGTATGATATCTGTCTTTGATGCGGAAAATTATGAACTGATTCGACAGATTTGAATTTAACGAGTTTTTAAGACTTAAAAGAGGCAACAAATGGTTTATCGTGTATTGGTTAGAAGTAATTTGCCTAAGTAAAGCTCGTAGGGTGTTAAAGTGCACGTCTTCTTCACTTTTTCATTTCAGTTTCCAACTGAGGGACACACGCATGGAAAAGAAATTATCCCAGGCTATGCCCTTTTCATTGGCGTGGCGGGAGTCCTCACACTTATCGTATCGACGGTTCTCCTCATCGTCGATAAACGAGTGGACGAAATCATCTATCGGGAGAAAATCAACCAATGACCCTCTGGGTACTTGCACTTTCTCAGTAGATGCAACAACATTTATCCTTTCAGATTATTAATTACCACAGTTATTCACCTCTGCCTAAAACGTTTTGCCGATGGCTATTAAAATATGTGTCTTTTCCGTGTTAAATGTTCTGAAAAGAATTTGGTCAACACTACCACCATCTTTTGATCCTCTTTTGAGACACACAAAAATGTTGCACAAGACGTTTCTGGCGATCGGGGAACGAGCACAGTCAGAAAGCGTGAGCGAACACGATTCAATCGATTTACTTAAAAACGTGGCGTGATGGATTAACAAAACGACGCTTACTGGCCTTGAAGGGAATCAGCATTAAATTACCTCCATTCTGGCCGAACTCCGCCTTATAGCTGGTTCGCAGTTTTGAAAACTACATTCCTGGGAGCTAACGTCGCCAGTCAACATGCCAAATACTCACATTTAGTTCCGGCCCTGACCAACGACTTGGCCAACGGAGTTACCGGACGTGCTGCTGAATCCAGATAAGGAATCAGCATATGATTACTTAAAGCGACGATCCTCAAAAGTATGCAGGCCTCCACATTCCAACGTGTTGAATAGTTCCCGCCTCGAAAGGTGCGTCAGCTCTCTTGCAACAGTCAATTGCATGGTGAATTTTGGGAAGCATTTTTTCTACAATAATTGCCAAGTACCATTCAACTAATTTTTTTCCAGTGGTCGAATAGTCATTTCCTGTTGATTAGATATCTAGTGATTAGCCACCATAGCACCTCTTTACATAAATGTATCCGTAATTTCTTGTCGATTTTGCATCCAATGATTCTCCACCATGGTAACTCCTCGGTTTCTTCCTCGACTATCTGATGCGCTGATTTCATTTGTCGGCAAGGCTGTCTGCAGTTTAGGTACCATTGAAAAAACCTAACAGCAATTCATCCGACGGCAATTCGTACACGACAGTAACCGCCGAGGAGTTTAGGCCCACCGGCATTCAAATAAAGGAGATTCGAGAATTCCCTTAATCGAAGTACATCAATCATCCTCGGCGTTTTTAGGTATGGTCAACCTCTACTGGCAAATTTTTTCCCAATTCAGGTCAGGTCCTTTTGCCTCTAACCAATCTACTCGAAGGTTGCTCTAAAAATTAAACATGACTGACGAGGCGCGTGAAGTTTTTACAGCTGCGAAGGAGGCTTAGGGGAAGAAAATCACTCTCGTTAACCAACGATCAGAGGCTCTCATATCTCCCTTAACCGATGCGCCCCGATTTCACGGGCTGGTGCAGTCTTACAGCAAACTGTCAACGGAGCAGCTTAATTGCTAGCTTTTTTACTCAAACAAGTTCAACGAACCACAAGGGCGTTACTAAATCTTCGGTCTACAATTCACGAGTTACACCGACCATGCATCGCCGATCTTTGCCAGGTGTTGAGTCTCCGATTATTGCCAAGTCACTATCTTACATTTTCAACCGATATTGGCCACTTCAAAGGTGCTAACAATGCTGTAGACTATTTGCTCTCTCGATCGCACGTGTGTACCGTGAACGAGGTTACACACGTGGATCTCAAGAATATGACAATCGCACAAAAATCCGGTGACGAATTGCAGGAGTCCCGAAAACACAGGTTTTGAGGCTGTTTGATGTCCGTCTGCATCCTTGCGTATTTATAACTCAATAAACAACCACTTCGTCGCCGTCTTAACCTTACTTCTCCCCACGTCATGCCGCAACAAGGTATTAATTTCCTGCAAGGAATTCACTTTTGACTTCTCATTTTTTTTATTTTGGGATTAGCAGGTATGAAATTCCACAATCCCTCCAAAAATATTAGGAGACCATGTTATTTCAGAATATGCACGTCTTAACTCCGTCCATCTACCGTCTGACTGGAGCCAGGCCGGGCACAACCAGAAGGCATCAGCTAAGCCTGGAAGAACTTTCTTCCACATAATAAAATAAATTTAGTGTCACTTAAAACATCTGTTTAGCTTGAGTTTTGTCCAGGAAAAATAAAATGTTACAGACTGAATTAAAAGTGAGACCTTGTGTGGATTTGTGCTGACATGTTACTAGTATCAAGTTTTACCAAAAATTGTGAATTCATTTGCATAGTTCTCGGGAATGGGTTCGCGAAGTTTGAGTGACTTCAGCACACGGATACCTGTTAAACGGTTAAAAGCTAACACAATAGATAGTGAAGCGGGGTTGTGACTGGAAGAATCGGCATACTGGTTCCCTGGTAGTTTACTTTACTTGCCTTAAAACATTTTCCACTAGAGCTCTATTAGGGCTTGCAGTTTTATTTAATATTAGACAATCGGAGGGCTTACTTAAGCCCCTTTTGAGATCCGCCAATTTTGAATTAAAAACGATCGCACGTATGCTAACAAGTTTTGTTATTTGAGAAGGTAGACTCAAAACTTCGCTGCAGTTTTTCTGACATTCAAGAAAGTTCTCTCGCATGAACTTCATTGATTGTTTTGAGAATGAATTGTCACACAACAGTTTATGAATACAATAAGAAAGTATGACTTGGTTACAATGCAAATAGATACACTAATTCTGTCGCACCTGTTGGCGGCGTGGACATGTACAATCGAAATTATCTGTGTGTTAGGAGACAAATGGACCGAAATAATGTGAGACAACCATAACCGAGCATGGTTCGTTAAACAGCCCAGAAGCTGTGGCTGAATTCAAGAGGGGTTTTAGAAAATAATGGCAGAGAATTGGCTGTAATGTGAATATGTATGTGTATCAAGACGTCAATGTATGTGGTGAAGATGTCTTCAGGGGAATTAGAAATTTATCACAGCAAGATAGCGTCAACGAAATTGGAATTAAAATCTTTAACTGCGAATAACGAGTTAGTTTCGGTGTAGCTGAACGCGAACACTCTTCTAAGTGGCCTGCAACTACCGCTACGAGAAACATGGCACGTTAAAGCAAGCTGGTCACTTGAAGTGACACACCACGTAGAAGGAATCCAAGGCCATTTTAGCCACCAATCGTTGAGGTGTAAATGCGGTAAATACGTCTTCAGGCGTCATGATCGACATCAGTTTTAAGCTCCGCAGATGGACAGTAAGGACTCCACACTCAAGATACCAAAAGATTTTCAGCAGATTGGTTCAGACGTATGATTCATTTAAAGATTTAGCTCGGCTTACTTTTTTACCAGGTTTTCTAGCTTGGAAAATGTGTCATCAGGAATCCAAATGTTTGGTTCAACTTAAAATGCCACACTCATGCATTGCTTCATAGTTGTCACCATTTAACTTATTGCGAACATTTGCTGTTTCTCAAGTGTTCCGCTAAAATCATCGTTTTGACCTAAATACGAGTTGATGCGGCCGACATAACGACTGAGTTTGTGCAAGCGTGTCCTCAAATCGACGTGAATGCCTGTACACGAACGCTTACTCGACCAATCAGTGACTGACCTCTTCGAGGATCTCGGTTCTTGTGACTGGAGGCTTCAGTGCGCACCGACTCGCTCTCAGTTGCCGCCTCTTTTACCTTGCATGCTAAGACGCGGCGGTGCCGACAGGGGTAGTTGTAAAAAGGTGTCCATTGCGGAGAATGGGATGGGTTGTGAACTTCGGAGGCTGCAGGAGGACATCCTGGCTCAGATCCGAAATAGGTCGGCGTTCCCCCTTCGTAAGGTTCCCACAAATAGCCGCCAGCATGAATCTCGAGAAGGCAAGTTTTAACAGTAGCTTTATTGTGCCTGTTCAAAGCTAGTTTTGAATCCACACAAGTGTAAGCTGGACAAACAGATTCTATTTTACTGAAATGTCTTTAGGTGAAACGACTATAGATGATTTCAGTTTGAAAGGAATCAGCGGGTTGGAAATTCGAGAAACTGACTTTTTCGTGTACTTTGGATTTTCCAACCAATGTTAGTAAACGAGCATTAAAGTCTCTCAATTTAAAGTAATGAATATTTCGGACTACCAATATAAAGATTGTGATTGGGCCTTAAATTAATCATCTACACAAACACATCGAGAGGTGGTACAAATACTTGATAGTTAACATAATTTCGTCCAATAAATATTCGGTTTTGCAAACAACTCAAAGCTGAAAATCCGCCAGAAAACTATGTTCGGCAAGCAGGAGCTTCTCATTAATGTAAAGAACTTCGTGGCTCAGCAGACACGCTGCATTAGTGAAATTCTAACCAACTAAAAAATTCCAGTCCCAGTTTATACTAATCAAGTTGAGGTATCCTCAGGTTTAGCATCAAAGCAAATCCATCTAGCTTTGAACCATTCTTCCATCCAACCTCATTTTTTGTGCAGCACATCTGCCTACCTTCTATTGTCCACTATTGGCGTTAAACGTAAAAGAAAATGCCAGGACTGTTTAAAGGCTTTCTTGAGAAGGAAAATGAGCAACTTAATCCACCTTAAGAGTGAATGGAAAAACAACGCTTTATATTTTGACCTAAATTTAACAATCCTGAACCACATTTCTGACGATTGTTCTTAGGTAAAATCTGTGCATTTGAAAAGTTAAATTTACTTGAGGAAATTTTAGCTATTCTGTCGCTTGACACCTTTATATCTAAGAGTTCCGTGTCTTGTCATCCTGTCTTGACGTTGAGGAGCAATTTTTGGTCTGCAGTTGGTTTTACTTAAATAGCTACCAAGCTTGTCCCAACGTAAATCTGATTCCAGCCTCAATAGCTGTATGTGATCATTCGATTTTCCTATCTGTGACGAAATATGTTTTGTTTATAAGTTCAAATGTGGTTGAAGTACTTGCGAAGTTCGGATGTATTTACGAAACGGAAATACTGAATACTACATTGCTTCTAAGACTTAAATTCTTCTAGCAAGTTTTTCATACTAGTAGTCTATGCGAAAGTACTTTTAATTACAAAAGTTTTGTCCCCTTTTAAAGAACAAGTGCCTCAGAGACACTTTCATTCATCGGGGGCGTTAAGGTCAACTGAACCAATCACATCCGTGACCAGCACCCTACGTCGACACTCCACACTCATCCGGACTCAGTCCATCTTCGACGAGCCCCAACTTAGTCCTACTGACTCCAGCTCCTTCCCACTGCCTTCGCCCCCTCTTCCTTCTCCTCCTCCTCCTGAACTACTTCCAAGTCCTCTCCAATCCTTCCACGAGCCCATAAAATCGCAGACAACGATCAACAAGTTCGAAGAAGAAAACATCCATTTAAATGTGGGTCTCAAAAACACGGTTCGTTTTCATGAAAATAATGCAGAACCACGTCAGCAGCATTCAGTGAAATATTCAACATGCAGACCAAATACCTACCAGTCTTCCACTTTGCGTAATCACGGTCTCTCTAGAGGAATCACTTCAGGATCCCAAAATATGGTCAACTTTTGTCAACCGCTTAGGAGCTCAATAGACTCCGTTGGTTACAGAAGCAGTCAGTCTACAGATGAGACTGCTGACTACAGGAATAGACCAACTTCTCCACCCCTAAAGTACAGCCCAAGTGAGGATGTCTTTAATCCCACCAAAACTACCCAACAGGTTTTCCGGGTTTCAAAGAAAGCCCAGGTGGAAGAAGACTCACCTACCGGAAGCGACGTTGATGCAGTGATCAGTAAAGAAGAAACTAAGCGAAAACAAGCAGAAACAAGGCAAACTACTCTGCCACGCCACCATTTTTCTCCTTCTTCTCCAACATTAAGTGAAAGAACTCGTCGACCATCAGGAAGAATATTCAAAAACTTTGGTCGCTCTGAAGACCCACCTTCTCCACTCACCTACCCACGTCCACATAATTCTGCGGTGAAATACTGCATCACGTCGAATGAGGAGAGCGATGAAAAGGACGAAAAAACAAGGATATCTCAGGTAGCAGAGCGACCCAAGATCCTTGCCACGCGTGGTGTAAGGCCTTTTCGAGGGGTTTCGGCAATTAATGCGAAGGGAGTTAGCAGCCCATCAGGATCATCGTCTTCAGTGGTGACCGTGGACTCTTCAGTCGGAGAAGACGGAGACATTCAACGTGGACGTTGGGTTTTCCCAGGAAAGCGGACAATTTACTCAGAAGAAAGCCAACAAGCCCAGTATGAAATGCGCAGTAACCTTCGAGTTAAGGATTGCCCCTCAACTGAGGTAAAGAGACCACCCCATCACTACACAGGACCGTGGATGTTTAAGGGACTCTCTCCACGTCTTTCAATTCCCAACGAAATATCTCGTAAGCTGGATTATTTTAAGTTCCAAAATTTGCGCGATATTTGCACAAGGCCTAATTCGCATTCCACGATAATCATGATAGATCTTGCACCAATTTTAAAAGCACTACTGAAGTTTACATATCTATTTAACAATACCATTACGTTAAAGCAACAGAATATTTAAAAATAGTCACACTGCCTAAACTGTGGATTACAAAAGCAGAGACCAGATGAGTTTACTAATAAATGTAAACCGGCTTTAATATGACAGCGCACATAAGTCTATCGTTCTTAATGTGCCTGAATTAACCCTTTCGCAGACCTTTTTCAACTTGAAACAGAACATGAAGATAACAATCTATGTGCACTCCTAATTATTTTATTCAGATTTCAGATGGCCACGTTCTCTACGTGAATGTAATTGTGGATGATTATATTAGTAATCAATTTGTCACATGATTTTATGCGGCACATCCTACACAGATTTCATTTTAACTGATTATTTGAGCTTATTTTAAGCAAGGTGCAATAGCATCATAGCCACTTTTATAAAAGATTGGTTCTGCCTTAAGAAAAGAACGAGCAACAAGAAGGTTCTCCATGTTTTAAATGACCCTCCAGAGACATTGATTTGTTCTTAATGCAATGTCTATATTGTTTTCCCTATGTCGGTAAAACATTAAGTGGTTTGTCAGAAAATAAGATAGTTGAGCAGCGAGAAAAAGTCTATAGGGAAAAATATTCACACCTATTTCTGCCTTACATACACTAGAGGCCATTTAGCCATTCAACATTTTTTATTGGATCAGCTAACTTATGCAAGTCATCGCCGGATAAGCATTTAGATCAAATATCCATCTAGATATAAGATTTAAGTAATCGGTACTACAAAGAAATCAATCAAAACAAGTTAGATGAGCCTCTGAAGGGAGGTTTGCTTAGACTTTAGCCATATTGTGAATTCCACATCAAAACAGATTTCTCGCGTTTGAATTTTAAAAAAAAACCACCGCTTACATCACTTGAAAATTTCCGATAGGTGCACAACCAAAAGAGAACTCCAAAAGTTCACTTCGGGATAATTCTTCAGCGTTAGACTAAGAACGAAATGTTTCACAGGAAAACGCTGAAACCTTGCATCAGCTTGTAACCTTGGTATGACTTTACGTGGCCTTAGGCTCCATAAAGTGCACACGATAACCTGGGAATTTATTTGGTTAGTAAATGTAACCGAGCTACCGCCACACCACCCTAAGTAATGTATTGAAACACTGAATGCAGTAGAGAACCATGACAACCCGAATATTCTCACATATTTTTTCCTGCCAGAGTTTCTGGCGTAGTGTAACCATGTGTGAATCGATGCCAATGGCACTGGTTATTTTAATGTTACTAAACTGCTCACACACGAAGAAGAAGCACTTTAAAAGTGTGTGTTTTCAATCTCATGAACTCCATCTTCTAAAATCGCTGTCGCAAGAATGTAGGAATTCACTAATAACTGAAACGATTCAAATTTAATCTAGGTTTTTTCTAGACCCATTGCATTTATGATTTTAACATGATTTTATGGCGAGCATAAAGATTTCAACAGTATTTTTCGTAAGCCTATAGGAAGCATCTACTCAAAATTATGGATGACATTTCGATAGATTTTGTCCTTTTTGTGACTAACAAAAGTCCGAATTTCAATGACGCCTAAAGCTTTGCCTAGAGTTGAAATCTTAAAACACGGCATAGTTATGAGCGTTTTGAATGTGGAGCAACATTCAAGTATCTATTGAGCTCAAAGGCTTGAGCATCGTGGCGTTCCGTTATGGCCATCAGAGAGAAAATACCGCTTCAGATAAGTCGGCATCTTAAGAGACTGGGAAGGAACATTCGACTTCCCTGACTACTCGCAAGCAGTCCTCACAAGAGATTCAAATGTGCATCTGGCTGCGCTAGAGGCAAACGCATTAATTTAGAAATCACAAAGCCTTCAAGCTACTAATCACGGAGACTGATTAAAACTAGTTGTTAATTTGAAGCCGATCAATTAGCGTAAACACCAGCACACATCCAAACCTTCACCTTTGCTGGATTACTGTATCTGCTCTTCAATTAGTGCAGCTTACACACATGTCTGGGATGATACTTTTCTCTTTTCGGTGAAAAAATATGGGTAATTTTGATGTGTTTTAGTTGCCAACACGTTTAAAAAACACCGCTGACATGCTGACTACTTGATTAATCCTAATATTAGGTTTGTGTATTCCTGCATCGAACTTCATTCATTAAATAACTACTAACCAAATGATTAACTTACAAGTGCTACGACATAATTGAAGGTTCTACATTTCCGTCGTAAAAATCACCTGCGTCATTTGTAAGCTTAATCGTGAATCGCATTCAGTCGAACCTCAGTTGGTCTCAGCTTGCCCATCTTACAAGTCCATTTGCAGAAACCAAAACCTCTAAAGTCATTTCAGGTGAAAGGAGAAACTCCTGTTCTGGATCGTCCAAGCCTCTTCACTTTTGCCATGCCACCCAATCGGACCCTCCTCAGGCCATCATGGTGGATCGCATGGTTTCGCCTATTTCATCTCCCCCACCAGGAGCGGAAACGGCTTGTGGTGCTCCTTCAATCTCCACATTAGGCCGCACTAGGACGCGTAATCGTAGTGGCCTCTGCACTTCCTCTCACAGCCCCCATCACCATGACCCAAATGACGGTAGTTATAGTTCTTCAAAACCGTCTCTAAGTCATGCACGGTGCACTACGTACAGAAATGTGGAAAACACGCAGATGCCGAAACTAGGAGCAAGCCGGATCTCTCTATGGAGTCAGAACACTAGTGCAGAACAACCAAAACCTCAAAGATTTGGCAGCCTTGGGAGGCATGATGATATGCTCATTCGAAAGTACCTCCAAAGGCATGCAACAACGGGATCTAAGGTTTTACTACATGAACCAGGACTCAGTCACACAAAATGCACTCATCTTCGATATAATGACAGAGACATGAGGCCAACGTTTTTTAACTCTTGAAAATACGCTTGTGGTTCGAGATTGTAAATAAATGCACGATTGCTAGTCCTTGTGATTTTCTTTATAAATTAACCTAACATTTAGTTAAAGTGAGTAATGCGCCATTATAAACTTCTAGAGATGTGGTTTCTGGAGCCATGATATCAACTGTGTGCGTTTAATGTATTTTAGCCTCCATGTCCAATGAATTCAATGCTTACGGCTGTAAATTATGGACACGAATTAGAATTTGGGTCTGTTACTGCACTTCTACGTGAAGTTTAATTTTTGTCATTTCTGGAAGACACCATCTTTACTGTTATGTTTTCAGTTATTTCATTTTTAAAAATTCAATACTCTATTTCCAATATATATCTAGCATTTTTGTAAATGAAGTCAAGTCCCTCTGATTAAGAGGGTCACTTCTTATATCATAGTTTCACATCTCATTTGTAAACATGATTTATTTCGTGCCTGACTTAAAGGATGGCTAATCACAACTCAGGGTTACTTGAAACACAAATTCGACAACTTAGCTCTGCTTAAATCCAAATATACTCCTTTAACATTAGAATATTTAACTCTACTTACGGAAGCAGTTTGATCAACATCTAGGTTTAACTGTTCTTCAACCGATGTTTCAGCTGTGGATAATAGAAGCTGTGATAGGGCACAAAAGTTGCATTCTAAACCTAAGAACTTCTTTATTCTAAGCAAATACTTAAAGAATGCCTTTTTATGTTACGTGGAAAATGTTGCACAAATGCAAACTCACAATAAAATATCGAAATAAAGCAAGAAAACAAAGTTTCTGGATTTCGATATCATATTACATCTGAACCATTAGCGATGCATGTGTCAAAACTTATTTTGTTTCACATAAACGTAAATATAATAGCAACTTCTTTTCAATGTACGTAAATAAATTTCTAACTAAAAGATGGAAATCTTTTAATAATTTGTTGCAAAAGTGCAATCGAACTTTATCCCTTAATTTTAGCGTACTGTGATAGCCTTGGCTCACTTTAGCTAATATGGTATTAAGTGATTTGACATTAATTATTCGCAGGTTATTTTTGCTGCGGTGATTTGGTGGTGACAATACCACAACCCCGTTTCAGGTTAATGGAATATAAACACTTGTAACTGAGCATTAACATTAGTTTTTTATTGACTGATCCTTGATATCATCTGCATATTTTATTCACTAAGATTTAAGCATATTTCAATGAAACGTAGTGTTAGTTTCACTGACAAAGTCGGCAGTTGTTCATAGGGATCCAGGTAAAAAAGAATCTTAAGAACAAAATTACTATAAACACTTATTTCTTACAACATGTGAAAAAAAATACAATTCTTTGCAGTGGTCTCTTCTGCACATTCTGGTTATAACAGCAAACAATGGTAGAGCGTCTGTCTTAACATTAATTTAAAAAATTTTGTTCGACTTAGAATGAGTCCCTCTAAATTTATCCCGCAAAGATTATTTCGAATACGACATTCGCAAAATTTTTAAGACGGCCCAATCATCATGTGTGTCATGGTTTAAAATTTTAACAAAATTTCTGATTTTATCAAGATATTTTTTTATAAAACCTTAATTAAACACCAAGTTATTGTAGTTATTCCAAGTGGATATACTGTCACTATTATAACAAAAACATTTTTTCTAAGTCAAAGCCCCAGATATAACTTGACGTGATCTGGGATGTTATTTTCTCAACTTTTTGTGGCGGCTTTTCGGAATTGGAGTGTTGTAACTGTTTTTAGCCAATATAGCCCGTCCTGGTCATGAAGCCAATATTTTTGAGAACCTCAGTCTTACAAAAAACTTTCGCCCCTTTTTGTACTTCTTTTCCACTCCGACTAGCACAAACCCAAGGAAGCTCTAAAAATATAGTTTCTAAAGTTCCTACTAACTACGCACAAACGACACCAGTTAAAGCAAAAGGTTTCGCCAGGTCAATTTTTATGCCTTTTTGTAGTAAAACAAGGTGTCAGTGATGCATGGTACTCATCTGTTATAGTCGGTGGAATTGCGCTTACAGGTTAAAACGCTTCAAGGGATTTCTGAGCTAGTTTAGGCTTCATTTTCTATATCATCATTCGCGAGTTATTTTCCTCCAAAAGTCCAACACGTGTGTATGAGGATGCCCTAAAAATCTGTATTAGTGATTCACGCGTTCAGGAAATGCTCGGGCCACCCATAACTGGTCGTGGGGAGCCAAATCGTCGTGGTAGAAGAACTCATGTTGCGTAAGTTGCTCCTTCAAATTTTCTCGTTTTTGTTTTATCCATTATTCGCAATTTTTGTCAATGTAATAGATCTACTGAATGGATAGACAATAAAGGCAAGCGGCATATGGCGATGCGGTTCTTCTTAAAGGGTGTCTACAACTCCGGAACCGTACATCTTGAAATTTATGAGGTTAGCTGCCAATTAATGTCTTGGTTCGGCTTGGTGCAATTTAAACTATATTAGGCCATCAGAATAACATGATGACTAGAGTTGTGTAATAATTTTAAACCATAATCCTGTTATTTATTTGTCAGGTAGCCTATTGTATGTTTTCTATGTTAATTCCAATTCTGTTTTATGTTCCTTTTTATGGACGGATAGTATTTTTGTGGCTTGTTCTTTGTCACCTTTCCCAGGCCTTCCGTCGGTTACGTTAATATCCATTCCACCACAATCGTCATAATAATGTAAACTTGTCAATGTGTAGCAGTGTTGTCGGTTATTCTTAACTTCGTTTCGCGTTCTAATTGTTCATGAGCTTGTTAAACTTTCCGAAAAATCCACTTTTCCTTTCCATACTTAAATGACTTCACCGGGTGTGTTGGTAATGGTTGATAGCAGCAAAGCAACCAACGGATCTTGAAAATATCACGTCTTGAGAAGTCCGCAGCTAACCACTTCGCGTTTGACTACGGATGTTCTGTGATCCTTGGGTGATTCGCAATTTGATGACAACTTCAAATTTTCTTCAACCTATCATTTTTATTGTTCGAAAAGAGCAAATTTTTCACTTTAAATGAAGCAAAGTGAGCACTGAAAAGCACACCATACAGAGAAATGTATTTGAAATATCGTTTGAACCCTTTTTGAGGCATTCTGAACGACATCGAATTCCTTGCCACTTATATGATGTAATTAAATTTGGAAAGCTGAATCCAAATGTGGTCCCCATCTTATTTAGACATTTTTAGTTCGCTTTCTCCATAGGAGCTTCATCTGGTATTACTGGAACAATCATAAATATCATAACCTAGGGAATGCTAAAGTACTTCGTAATGTCTATTATGGACATTCTTGGTCTATGTGAGTTTATGCATCCATATTCGTGTTTCGACGGTGATCTTGAGAAAAACCTCGTGTTTTCTATTACAGCCTGTTCACTATTACCACGTTTCGATTATTATTGTCAGTAAAAATTTTTCCTTGATTTCTTTGTTCCTACAATGACTGTCTTCGACATTTGAAAAGACCACTTTTATGGGACTTGAGTCCGCTCCAACGGGGCAAACGATTGAGCATTTTTCGATTTGAGTCATCGACATAGTGGCATAGGCTGTGGTGATTTCCGCCTGGCATTGAAAACATAACCAACAAGCGGTTGACTCGTCCTCCTAATTCGCCCAATCTGTCAGTCTTTATCAATAATGTTTCTCTTTGGTTTAATTTTTTTTCTTAAACGACGCTTTCTGATTTTTCTTTCAGAATGATACAAATGACCTTGAGTACAGGTACTTGATCGTTGAGGTGGACGGCTTGGCTAGACGGCAAGTGATCCTCCGTCCAGAGGAGTCCCGATCCGCGCCTCTTCCCTCCGGGCCCCCTCTGCCGCCGCTTCCCCCCAACCTTGACTCTTTTGAGGAGGCACGAAAATGATTCCAAAGTGCGTGCCTACGCCCTATCCCTCCTCGTCTTACACATACTGTAGTGTTGTTTGAATTAACTAGCCAAAAGCGCTCTTTAGAATTGAAAACAGATTATGCCTTTGAGTCGACTATTGTTGTTATTTGGAGGGCGGACTGCGCCAGGACCCTGATGGTGTCCTTGCATTCAGTTATTAGTGGCAGGTCGTTTGTTGCCGTGATTGTTATCGCCGTGTTACTGCACAAACTACTAGCGTAGCCATACCCGTCTTCAAATTCTGGCTCTCATCTGGTCTGGTCGTTGGTTGTGGTCTAGGGACTTATTTTTGCGAAGCCCCAGTTGCTCCTGAGTGGCCCTCCACAGTGCTGACGGTTTTGCATTTCTTAGGTTCGTGGCATGAACTAGGTGGGTAAGGTGCGTTAGGAGTTTTCTATGCATAATAGTCTTGTGCCACCCACAACATTCGATCCTGGGCGCTTGTGACTATTTTACCTAGGTCGTGGTTAATGCGTTTGGAAGGGTATCTGCAGATTAGGTATGGTCGTATGACATCGATCCCATTCGTGGTCAATCCTTAACAGATTTAGCTTAGTTTGTGGCTCAGTGAGCACGTCTCACCTGCAAATCTCTAGTGGCGTGGATACCCAACACCTGTGTTAGGGGCTGCTCATGCCTTGGTGCGTCGCCGTGGTAGCCAAGTCAAAATGACATGCAGGCGGTTCAAGCTTCAGTAGCCCCCGCGGTCTTCTACCTCTAATTCGTTAAGAGAAGAAATCGATGGTGGTGGACCACTCAGGTGGTTTGGTGACTTGCGATTGCTTTTGTTTCCCTTGAGCTCGTTCTTGTCTGAATTCGTAGCCTCGAACCGCCTAACGAAAAGGCGACTGAGAGAATCGTGTGGGTGTGCTGCCAGCATATGCCATTTTATGCCGCTCCCTCGTTTGCGCGTCACTGCCTGCTGCAACGAGTCACCATTTCTTGTACGGGCATGCTAGGGCAGCCCCTCCTTCGTCGTCCAATGACTTGCCTCCCAGACTGCTTGCTCGTTCCGGTTGTTGCCGTATGTCAACTTGACGCTGGATTGGAGGACTTTTTTCGTTTTCGGCCACCAAATTCTTCACACGCACGTCACTCCCCGCTTACTTGCCTGTTTTGTGCTGCAGTAAACGTAGACATGGAGACAGTTTGAATAAAAGATGGGTTTAGTCATCGATGTGTATTCCAGCAAAAATTATTCCTGAAAAATCCAATTGTTTGTTGAGGCTCTATGACAGATTAAAGTGTACAATAATTTCATACGAACTTATGAAACAAAATTTCGTGGCTGCAAGGATGGAATGCTGGTGTAAGCCGAGAATCACTCAATTTCACCCATAATTAAAAGTAGTTTGCTTCGCACTTGGCATCAGGTACATGACTTTTGGCTGCAGCTCCAGACGTTTAGAAAGAAAACTAGTTGATTTGGTGGATGGTGTATTTATCAACATTTGGTTATGCTGAGGCTCCTACCATTCTACAATGGCATTCCCGACAATGGGACACGGGCCCAAAATGCTCAGTGAAACCTGGTCTGATAGTATTTATGCTCGGTGACTTCAGAATTACTTGATGAGTGCTGCAGAGACAAGTGATGGGGGCAGTTAAAGCACCAAAATTTACTCCTGTGCGTCATGACTTCTCGCCTAGCCGCCATTCTGTTCCATTGGTAGTTCCCTCAACTTGATGCAAAAAACTCCAGAACACCTAGCTTGATTTCGCCGTGTGTGGTTGTCCTCGCGCTGTCCCGACGCTACAGATTAAATCTACAAGCCAACCCTCGGCCCCCTATCATGTTCCATTCCACCTGTATTGGGGTGCACTAGTTTTTTAGTTTTTCCGAAAGTCCAGCTGAGTCTTTCATGATACATCTGAAGACTGTCAGACTAACATCACAGTTCCTAGCCTTAGGGTTACATAACCAAATAGCTAAAAGAATTCGTGTTTAAATCGTCGCTGATCTGCACACTACAGAAGTCAATTAATCCGCTACAAATTAAGTGCTATAAGTACGACATACCTTAATGCCCCATGAACTAAATTTGCCTGGTGATGTATTTGGGGTGTTCTGGCTTGAACTCTGCATAAGCAGGTCTCTAATTCCAAATGGAATGTACCCCCTTTCGAATGGTTAATGGTATTGGTAATGTTAGCTAATTTTTCCTTGATTTTTTACCGTCAAGGATCTGACTCCCCAAAAAACGCCATTTTGGAGCTAACTTAAAACATTAGCATGGTTATGGTAGTCTAACTTGAGCCTGTAAACCATCCACTCGAGTTAAATTCAATCCTACATAGCCGGATAAAATTTCAACGCAGACGAGAGTTTAGTTTTTCGCGTTTGAAAATGGAGTCTAGTGCACACAATAGCGAAAACTGTTAATGATTTGAAGGCGGAATACCCTGACTGAATAGCTAGTCTTTAAGCGGTCGTTGTGACGAAGCTAGGTTTTCATTATTAGCTCATTTTGTTCCAGGTAATTTTCTAGTCTTCGACATGTTAATATTAAATGCGACCACAGAATATCGATTTTCTTCTTTAACTAATTCAATTATTAAACCAATTTGCCCCGGTTTGTGCCTCGCTCTGCCAGCTAGAAGCCAACGCGCAAATCTCGCGCTGGAGTTATCATGTGTAAAAAATCCGTCTCGCTTTGTTTCTATTCGACAGGTGACTCAGTGGCAGGCGCGTGCCTGCCTCGGGCGGCAAACGAACCAATCAGGAGGAGCCTTGCATGTTATTGGCCAATGGTCTGCCCTTGCGCGCATCAATTCAAGTATAAACTCTCCTGCATTAGCACCGCGAGGTTATTCAGCACGCGCCCTTAGTTTCGCCGGCGCTCGCGCACGTCATCATATAAACGCATACGCAAACACGCATTAAAGGCAACATGGCCGCATCAGCTGCAAATTCAACTGCGAAATTCTGTCGTCGTCTCTTCCAGGATGCAGCACCAAGGGTTGCAGCTCAGCAAACAATGGATCAGATAATTCGAGCCGATCAGGAACGCTTTTCCGCCAAATGGAATTTCGATATTACGAAGGGCCCCTCGAATTCCTGGCAGATCATTAATGAACCTAAGGCTACTTTTTATATAAAGGCGCCACGACGTCTTAAGGCGAAAAGACGTCTGAATCTTTCCGTGGCTGAGAGACTACGAATGGACTTACAAACACCGAGAAAAGGAATTCTCACGGAATCCCCCCTAATTGGGAACTTTACCTTCAACTTCACAAGACCCGAGCCGTTATCACAGCCACCAGAACAAGTCGATACAGCCCCATGTCCGTGCTTTGACTACGCTTTACCAATAAGTTCTATCGCCCAGTGTACCGTGCCATGCGGCAGCAACGGCGTGCAGCCAACGCCTCTGATGGATTCTGGCCCCATTTTTAAACTTCCTTCTCCTGAAGTGAAGACGGTTAAGAAGAGAAAATCGAAGCCAAAAATGACTGGTGCGTTCGCTTCTTGCCACTTAGATATAATGCTCTTTGTAAAGGTCATAGTATAATTCAACGTTCATTCAAAATTGTCGAGTTGGAAGTCGAATCTATGTCATGCTTCCTTTGTTTCAGACTACTTTGTGGTGCACAAACGCTCAAAGGAATCGAAGAAATAGTACTGGTGAGTCGACAAAACCATTTTATTACCAATTTTATGGGCTCTTAATTCATCAAACGTTCTTTCACGTTGGTTCATTTTGAGGTTAACGTCACTGCACCTCCAGATTGTCGTAAAAACCCAATTCTCTCTTTAAAAAGCACGCTAAAGGCCAATTTTAATGTGGTCGCAAGACCCAGCTTATATATGGACCGACTTAACGCCCAGCTGTGCCATGACAATGGGGTTATTTAGCAGTTAATTTCACTACAAATTTGGTGGATATTCTTGCTGTCGACAAGTATGCCCGGTTTCCTTTGCTAGAGTGCGATAGGACAAGCCCATTAGCACTTAATTCGCTCGCAGGCCACTGGTGAGCCGTAGCTATGGTCGCCGGCCTACGTGACGTGTCCACTCCTACGGGCTCAATCCCCCGCCCGTGTTAACACCTGTCGTGAGCACAACACCTGTCTCCTAATCCGCCACCTTTTGTCTGTTTTTAGCTGGTGACGATCCAATTCAAGGGAGGTACGGAATCGCCTTAAAGATAACTGTGTTGTGTTTTTCCCCCACCTTATCCCAGATTTATATCACCTAGATTTCTATATATTAATAAAATGTATATTTGTGCCACAAGTTACTCCAATGAGTTCTTAATGTGGTTGTGTGTCACATTTCTGCGCGCGAATTTTCGAACCAAAGCCTAACCAGCTCTGCTCAAAAAACATTCAACAATATTTACCGTTCGGTTTGGTGGTGGCGATTGCTTTAGTTGTCGGTGGATTGATTTCAGTGTTTTCGCTTGCTACACCGTTGCAAACGTGGGGGAACAGTTCTTGCAGTTTATTACAAAATAAGTTCAACAGCACTTGGTTGTGTCTTTCCGGGGGTGTGTGCTTCGCGGGGAGTACAAAAACCAAATGAATGTATTCTCAATCGCCCGATAGATATTTGTATCGGTGGCACAATTCGACTGCACATTACCTCAGGCTAAAGACGGGCCTCGAGGGTCCGCTAAGTCACCATTTCAAGGTACTAAGTACATCTAGGGCAAATGTTTAACGCCTCATAACCACATGGAGAATTAGTGCAGCTCGGCTAGTTTTGGGTGCCATTTGCGAAGTGCCTAGGCCTCGTCATGCACGAACCGCTGTTCTATTCAGCCTGGACACAACGTTATGCGTCATCGATGGACTAGATTAACATCAGTCGCGTGTGTGTAGCTGCCACAACACCCCTGAGCGAATCTCATTCGTTCTCACTTTTTGACATGTTTGGACTCGCTCGCCTTTGCACACACACAGAGCTACGATCCTGCTATTCAGAAACACTTGTGTGCCAGCACAAAGGCTTTCATTTAAGCGAATGAGTCTTCGTCAAGGCTTGTTGTTGCGAGAGAGAGAGAGAGAGGGACGGAAACTTAATTTAGTTAATTAGAGGTGCTGTTTTATTTCGAGCTTAGTTAAGCTTCCACCTTTTCTTTATCACAAAACCCTAATTAATAAATACTGGACGGACTCGGCTAAATCAACAACTTCATGCGCTTGGCGGGTGACGCGACTAAAGACGTAGTATCTTACTGCTTCGTGTTTAACCAAAACGCATTAGTGTTATCTATGGGCATGTATAATCAACCAAATTGTTATGACGGATAAAGTAAATTTGTTTACACGACACCGTTCAACGTGGGCCAAGTGTACGCTGCCGGATCCTCCAGCGTGCCCAAGACATTTGCTGCCAGCCAAGCTTGGCTCTTGCATGGGGTCAGACAGTCAGTTTGATGTAGTTTGTTGTGTACCACTCAAACGTGCAGAAAAACCCTTCCCGACGCAAAGTTGCGGATACCACTACACTGGTAGCAATTTCAGTTTGTAGTTCCTTCGCATAGACTATTTGTACTCCAGTGGATTTTCAATCGTTATCCACAAATTTGGTTTGGATCATCGTCGATCAGTGCGCATTGTTTTCGTTTTGTGCCCATGGTTTTAGACGTCACATCAGTTTGTTTTGTAGTAGTTGTGAGTTTGACAACAACGCCATATGAATGCTTAATCCCCGTAGAAATGACAGCTTTGGAATATTTCAACATAACTGGGTAGTCCGTGCACTGATGAGTATCATGAGCCTCGGTGCTTCTTCCACTGGGACATTTCTCTAGCGTCCAGTTGCTGGCTTGCTAAATCTTCCGAAGCACGAGAATTCGCATGCTAAATTAGCAGTTTCATATCTGACGAGCAAGGGTTTATAGTTTAATTTGAAAGTGTCAAGTGAAAGCGTTTGGAAGTCCAAATAACCACAAGCGATGTTCATGCAATTTAACATCGTTGCGCCTTCTCGTGGGTGGTAAATTTGGCTCCACTCCGCTCGTGGCTTGTAGGCCGTACACTTCTCGACGTTTTAGCGTATGTTTGTCGCTAACACAACCTGACCACGTGCCAGTGATGCACAGACACCCCTTACCTCACAACAGATGACTCACGAAGCAGCTTCCGGTGTTCACAATGAATTTATAATTCTAATAGGGCCTAATATGGCAGACATTTTTTCCGGATGGTCGATGAATTAAATTACTGCCAAGAATGTATTATTTGCCTCAAGTTAGTTATGCAAGGACAATTCGGTTTTGAAATCGGCTTTGTGCGACCTTGCCACACAACGGTCACGATTATGAAAACCAAGAAGTCAAAAAAATACCTCACTGGACAAACCTCAGTTTACCAGAATCAGAAACTCATTATTAAGTCTGCTGCGGCTACCATTTGCGCTTAATAATGAATAATTTAGCACTGTCTACCACCAATATTAGTAGTGATGTTATGGGCGCAAGCGGGGTGGCTAGGACCAGCTACCGAAATGTCACTTTTAAAGCTTCGAGGTGATCGCATGGAAGCATTCTGCAGACGGGTCATTGCCACGGCGTCTCCGACTGGTAACTAGCGCCCGCGTATATCATTAAATCATCAGCGACGATAGCAACTAAGCGCCCCGCACATCTCTGCCCGCCTGAAAACAGGCTTAGGCCTTGACAGGCCATTTGTTCACTGACCAATCATATTGCAGGCGGTGACTCAATCCAGGCGTGTGCGTTGCTGATCAAGTGTGCGCGTGTCGCGCGTTGGTCGGTGCGGCCCGAGTTTCTCTTCTTTCAGGCAAGAGGCCTGGCAACTGGCGGGTATGCGTTTCCAGCACGTTGCCGGATGTGCGGACAATTTTGCAAATTACTGTGCGTTGTGACTGATGTTTACGGCTTCTAGTTTCTAGGGTAAAATTGGCCTTCTTTTAATTAGCTCCTTACCGTAGATTAGAAGACCAATACTTTGGAATAAAGCGCTTAAAAATCCTCTTTTAGTCTAGCATCGTTGCATTGGTTTTAATGGTTGTTGTAATCCACGCAGTGTGTCTATCGACCAATTACATCCACCTTTTAGTGTTAAAGGGTTTTGCAACACCACAACTATTTGAAGTCTCGTAGACATATAGGAGATTCTCATCTAAGATGAGTCCATTAAGGGTGAATGTTTTGATTTAAATTGTATTCTTGTGTGTGCTAAATGATTTGAGGGTGGACATCGTCAGGTTGTCGGAATCTGATGCAATGAGAAGTATTTTTGGCTGCTGTGTTAGTCAGGACACTGGTACTTTCTTAGATAGCTATGGTTTTGGGGACCAAACAATAACTAGCAGTTTCGCGTGTTTAGGAAATCTATGTTTCTAATCGAAAACTAATTGACGAAATAAGTTAAAAATATTTGAAAATGTGCAACACCTGCCTCATGCCCAAGGACTTTGTCGAAAGCAAGAGCAAAAGGTCGCAATGAGGAATTGTCCTTAATCAAGTTTCTTTATTACTTACCGAAATCATTATATTGTTAGTCGATTTGCGTTCGGAAGCTCACCAGAGGTAATCTCGTCCGACAGTCTGCTCATTTAGGCTCCTGTAAATTATCGCGTAGGCAAAGTCCGTTCAAAACCACAGATGTTCTCTGCCGATCAGGGTCGTAAAAGTAGCGAACATCTGGTTAGGGGAGGCGATGTTTGACTTCAAAGGAAGAGGGAAGGTGTTCTACCCTACCTGACTATTCACCCTTCAAAACTTCTCCTACCAATAATGACCACATTCAAAATCCAGCATCTGTCAGTTAATTTATGGATCACATGGCCCTGAAACGTCTTAGGTGTTCAGCCGTAGCAAAATTGTTACGATTTTGACGTGGTCACTTTCAAAGACCAACCCCTCAGTCAAGGCAGCAGTCAGTAGCAAAGTGAGATGGTTCTCATCTGGAATTTACTGTTTGTGGAAGACCAAGAGGCTCTTCCATTGTAGATTTCAGCATTAACATGCAGTATGAAACGCGCTTCCTTAGAGATCAATAGCACTTCAGCGAAAGGTTTGGGATAGTTAGTCTATTCCTCTCTTCGTTTCGGTGTTCCCCATGCATAATTCATAGTGCATAATATTGTTCCCTAAGCTGAGTTATGCAAATGTCAAGTGCATACCATTAGCGCACGTAAGCCAAAACTACCGCCTACTAATAATATGTATTTCCCCCCATAACACTGAAGGTGCGCCCGAATTCCCGCCGTCCTGACCCCCAGTCTCGAAAGTGGACAATGAAGTCTAGTTAGGAACTCAAAATTGGCCACGCTGCGCTGGTAAACTGGTTAATTCGAGTTAACTCGCCTTGAAGTTGGTCAACCTCTACTCCTCTTCCCATTGGTTTGGTTCATTTTACTCACTTATGATTCTCGGTTCAGGCTCTATGGGCCATCATGGATTGCTGCTGACAGGTAACTACGGGCCTCTTTAGCATTTACGTTCAAGTGAACGAGCTGTTTGACTTGTAATTTACGACGTGCCACACGAGGCCACAAAGCACGTTGCGTAGAAAAAGGAGCTCATAGAAACACAAT